CCAGAGGAGGGACAGTGGTTTGGACATGTCCAGAGGAGGGACAGTGGGTATACTGGTAGAAGGATGTTAGAAATGCAGCTGCAGGAAAAAGACAAAGAGGAGATACATGGATGCAGTTAGAGAGGACATGGAGGTAGCTGGAGTGAGGACAGAGGACGCAGAGGACAGAGACGGAGGAGGATGACTCGCTGTGGTGACCCCACCCTCAAATAAGAACAGCCGAAGGAAAAAGAACAGAGATTCAAACTACTTCACTTGGGTTGACAATAGCTTGTTTTTCACACTGTTGTACTGCGTGTTAACAACAGGTGGTACAGCGTGTTGTTTGTGTGAGTACTGTTGCTGAGCACAGATGTTCGGAGTCAGAAGTCTAAAACAAAGATCTAAACTGTCAGCACTCGTGTTTGGTTCTTCATGAGTCTGATGCTGGTTGTCCTCGTACTGAGTTCATGTGAAATGGTTTGTACGTGGAACTGAAACTGGGTCGGTGGCTCAGCATGCAGCTTCAGTGGCCGAGTCCTCCAGCTGTTCGCTGCCTCTGGTAGCATGTGCTGCTGATGAAGCTCAGGCCGTTCTCCCCACACACGACATAAAACGTCTTCACTGCGACATGCAGGAGCCCAGTCATCGTTCTGTCTGCATCTGCCAGCATGTGAGACGGTGTGCACGTGGTTATAGAGGACACACAAGTGCACAAACACACTGAACTTATCAGCCATCAAAATAAGGTTCATATTAATCTCCCTACATTAGGAGCAACTTTCACATGTTTAAACGAGATTATTTACTAATTTGTAATATTTGCTTATAAGTATTCAGTTGGACAGTATGTGCATTTGTAAACGTCACCTCTTCAGTTTCCTTAAAAAGATCTGCTTTAATCATTTAAAAATGGCACAAAACAACAAACCTATACTCGAGATTCTAAACTTCAACAAATAATTCCAAGATAATGTTTTCTGCTCCCAATTGTCTGAAAAAATACTTTTTTTAAAATATTAAGACGTTTTAAACGTCATTGCTATAACAGTTGCATTCTGTGCATGCATCACTGTCCATTTCACAAACCTTTGGGGCAGGTACGACCTTCAGACAAGTGACTGTCGGTGCATAACTTGGGAAAGCTAAATTGCAAAAAAATAAAAAATAGGTAGCTTCAATCCTTTGTTCAAATTCAGCAAAATACAATATTTCATGGATAAATTCCAATGGGATATTTCTGGAGCCTGTACTGATTTGTGTTGCCTCTGAGATGTCATTTTCACTGCATTCTCACTGGAGAACTTCTCTGGGGCTCAGGAGAGAGTTTCTTGTTCTTCTGGACCAAAACTGAGTCAAAGCATCAAACTTCAATTAGAACTCTTCTTGGGAAAGACATTTTTTCTCTTTTTTGTATTTGTTTTAAATACAGGCACTATTTTGAATAAGTCCAACAAAATTAAGTCAGGTCCACTGGATGGTTTCTTTTTTTGTTGAAACGTTTCGTCCTTCATCCAAAAGACTTCATCAGTCCAAGGAGCCACAACAAACTCAGTCTCATACTGTAAGTGGTTTACACCCATAGTGGGCCAACCAGTTTTATGGTGATAAGATGGTTTCTGGAGTCCGCCCTCTTCCCTGTCAATTCCTGTGAGGCAGCCATAGTCAAAGTGGTTCAAAACATCCAAGGACGAAATGTTTCAACAAAAAATAGAAAATAAACCGTCCAGATGACCCGAATGAACATTGTTGGATTTTCTACCTGAATTATTGAGCATGAACTTTGATGTTTTGAACCAGTTTTTGGCCATGGCTGCTCAGAGGAGTCGACAGGGGAGAGGGCGGACTCCAGAAACCATCTTATCACCATAAAACTGGTTGACCCACTATGTGCGTAAGCCACTTGTGTGACTGAGTTTGTTGTGGCTCCTCAGACTGATGAAGTCTTTTGGATGAAGGACAAAACATTTTAACACAAAGAAACTGTCCAGAGGACCTGACTGAACTTTGTTAGAGTTTTTACCTGGATTATTAAGCATGAACTTTGATATTTTGAATAACTTTATGTGCCACAGCTTCTTGGTAATGTAGGGGCTGTGGTTTGTTTCCTGGTGTCTAGCCCCATCTTGTGTTTCTGTCTTGTGTTCTCCTGATCCTCAGTTTCTGTTTTCTATAGGGTTTGTGTTTTCCTAGTGTGTGGCTCCATCTGGTGTTGTGTCTCTGTTCCTGAACTCCCTGGTTTCCCAGTTTATCATTTCCCCTGATGTGTTTCAGCTGCGTGTCCTCACAGGTGTTTTATCTCGTTAGTCATTGTATATAAGTCTGTGTCTCTGTGTTAGTCCTTGTCCAGACATTGTTATCTGTCCACTGGTGATGTCCTGGTCTGCTCCTTGTGAACTCCTTGTTGATCATGTAAGTCTTGCTGCACTGACAGCCTTTTGATTTTTGTAAATAAAGACTTCATTTCATATTACTACTGAGTCTTTGACTGCCTGTCTGTACTATTGGGTTTATCTGCACCAGCCCTGTTACGACAGGTAATATGTACCCTATAACAAGGGTGCAATGGTGGGTACAATAGTTAGACAGATAGATAGACAGCATCCAACATCTGTAGGGTGCTTGTAAGAGCATGCATGTAAATGTCACCGTAATCAATGGAGGGAAGGAAAGTCACAGTTACAAGGTGTTTCCTAGCATTCAGATTCAGATAGGATCTATTTCTGAAAAAGAAACCCAGTTTAACTTTCAGTTTCTTTACTAGGTTTTCCACATGGAGCTTAAGAGAGATGGGAGTCGACCAAGATACCCAAATATTTATAGGACTCGACAAACTCAATAGGGACACGATTAGAGGATAAAATCAGAGGAAGAACTGCGGGGATCGACTTCCTGTTTGAAAAAAGCATCCCTTTGGTTTTATCAGCATTTAGGACAAGTTTGAGTCGGAACAAATCTGACTGGATGATGTCGAAACCGCATTACAAAAGCTGGAAAGCCTTAGCAACTGTTTTAGCTCGACAATAAACAACAGTGTCATCAGCATAGAAATGTATGGATGCGTCAGGGATGCTCTGACCTACATTACCTATGTAGAAAGCTGACAGTTATTGTCTCCATCTGTACAGATTTAATCTGACAAACATGGTATGCTGTCAGGTTGTTCATTCCAGCGCAGAGGGTTTCAGCATGTTAGGACAGGGGTTGAAAGGTGCTGGAGGTTAAAGCAGGAACCAGACGACAAACTAAGAAGAAAATATTACCCAATGCCCCCTAAACACTGGATAACAATCCTTGTTGATCAAGACCAAAATAAGGACTGCAGTCAGTTTTGCTGGCTGCGCTCATGTGTGGGCCCCATGTCATGGATGCCACCATGTTTTCCACAAGATCCTGATACTCTGACAGATAATCAGATCCTCCCACAACCCATCACACATGAGGAGGAGCCCAATGCATCCTTCATACACACCTGAGGACCATGTCAAATTCTCTGCAAAGACCATCCATCTTCAGGCAGATGTTTTATACCTTAGTGAGGTGTTCCTCTAGTGTGCACGAGGGCTAATCAGAAGTTAATGTGCCTCAGTGGTTAAATCCCTTTTCATGAAAGAGTTTGCATTGATTTACTAACAGAAAACTATAATGTCGTCCTAGAAGAATGCTCATTAAAGTGGACATAAGGCCAACAGGAATCAATGGTGTACTGGTTATCAGCGTTGCCTTACAACAAGAGGTTCTCTTGTTTCAAACCTCAGCTGGTGCTTTTCTCTGAGGAGTTATCCTTGGAATCTTCCACAGGCAGCTCTAGTTCTTCTTGTCTAATAAATACAGTTTTGTTTTGTGTTTTTGTCGTTTTGAACCAGCCGTGCTTCATCCTCTGCCAGCGCGCTGCTTTATGTTTAAAATGTCGTGTTTGCATAAGAACATCTGGAGTGACAGTAGCTGCTGTTTGAGTCATTGTTCATGTGTGCTTCTTGCTGCCAGCTCTGCTGTAAGAGAAAGACCGTTCTTCATCTTGTCACTGTCACGTGCTTCATTTGTGATGTGAGTCAACCCTGTGAAATGATTAAAGAAACCATTCTGCAGTGGGGCAGGTTCACTGGGTTTAGAGAGACGGCAGTAAAATCTCAGGCGTGTCCTCTTTAGTTTCTTTTCTTGCATTTCCCTGGGGAGGACATGAAACCTGAACTCTTAACCGTACACCAGGATGCTTTACGTTCTGGTGGATTTATTTTAATCCACGCAGGAAGTCTACAAAGCCCTGTGTTTCAGCTGGCGCGCATTAAACGCAGATTTACTCCTTCTGCCCTGTTTCAGGAGGTTTCACCACCTGCACAGGGTGCACGCCACCTACTGCCCAATGACCACTAAACACAGACAGCAAGATAGACTGAAAGAAACTACAGCGCAAGATACTGATCTATGAATTGTTCTTAAGTAATTGTGCTTGTTGCACAGATTATTACTTCTCTGCTGTTCTGTTCTTTATAAAGCAATGCCAGGAAACTTAAAATCTATCAAATGGAATGAATTAAATCAAAGTGTGTCAATAATGGTCAGTTAAATAGGTTTGTCTATGGGAGTTGTTGTAAAACTTGCATCAGAGCCGAGGAGCGCTGTAACACCATCATTAGTTGTTTCCACTGAGGCGGCATGAAGGAGGTGATGGATTAGAAGGACACGAGGAAGTAGGGGGCTGCACTAATAAACAACAAGCAGTGCTGCGACCTGCACACCACTGTTCCTCACTGTTTCATTTGGACCTGTTGGTAAAAAGAGCCGTGTGCCGTTCATGCGAGACTGGAACCAGCAGCAAGTCCAGAAGACCAAAGTGAGTCGCTGCCGTCTCAGAGCAGCTTCGGTCTCCTAAATGCTGCAGCAGTTCAGGTGAATTCATAAACCTTCACACCACTCTAGTGTTTTTCATTCCTTCAACCTTTATTTACACAGATAAGTCACATTGAGCCTCGGAGACTCATTTACAAGTGAGACCTGTTTGGACAATAAGTGGTGAAAGTGACAACATGGGTTTTTGAGGCAAAAAAAAAAAAATCCTAACATGCGTTAAATCTCTAAGGATTAAAAGCATGGAAGTAGATAGTACATATATACACATATAGTATATATACATCACCTAGCCTTAGCAGCAGCTCATTAGCTCAAATATTCAAAATGAAACATTATTTCTTCAACTGTCGGGTTCCTCTGAACAGATGACGTACGACATGCAGCCCTAAACAGCTGAAACACGTGCACATTTCATTTTGTGTTGTCCAAATCTGAACGCTCAGCAGATTTTTCTGCTTTTGTCTTTAAACACGTCCTTGATTCACGTTAAAGATGCATCACGTTACGACTCTTTGGCATCGTCTGACATAACGGAGCAAAGCGTTCAGGGATTTGCATCATGTCGTGCACGAGTCTCCAGGTCACCAGACTGTGTTGTGAGAAGCTCAGCAGAGCTGTGCCCTGATACCCCCCCCCCAACCCCCCACCCCCCCAACCCCCATCAGTGCCAGTGTTTGGACACAGAACACGCTTCAACCTTCATTTCTCAACACGTACCAGGAGTTGAGCAAAGACAGGATTTATTGTTACGCTGTGTTGTTCATGAGCAGCAGTGATGATACAGACCAGTGTTGTCCTCACACACACACACACACACACACACACACACACACACACACACACAC